CCGTGAAAACCTTAATGAAGTACTGACAATAATTTTCTATGGCTTAGTTATGATTTTTTTCTTATGAAACATGTTTTAAATTAATGATGGGCAATGAAAAGTTGATAGTTTATAATAATATAAAATGCAGTAGGTTGTAGGAAAAGTAAAATGATCCACGACTGACTGTAGTAGTAACCAATCTTCATTCAAAGAAAGGGATAGTGTGTTTGTGGTGTAATTAAAAGGTCTTCCTGACACTTTCAGGAGAATCAAACAGATGATTCTAAAAAGCACTAATCACAGTTAAAATAAATGAAGGCAGCAGTTGATAAAAGGTATTTGAAATTAGTTCTGAGAAAATCTTAAATATTCCATCAACAACTCACTAGAACACCTGTTTCTTTGATGAAATGGTAAATATTTTTAGAGCTTAACTGGAAGGTTTTAAATCTTTCAACATGTTGCACTTCTGAATTATCATTTATACTCATAGTTAAAGAATTAACTTAATAAAAGAGTCTTCAATCCTGTAGAAACCTGCAAAAGATACTTCAAGCAGTTTTTAGCTAAGAAAGATAGAAAATTCAGGAATGATAGAAGTGTGAAATTATGAAAATGTTTTAATGCCATGTCATTTCAAGAAATAGTTGAGCATGGCTCTCCACACATTCCTTTTCTTTGTTACCCATGAATTACCAAGCAATCTTTGGAAAGATAGTGAAGTGGTTTCCTATTAACATATTCATTGTCTGGAATTCAGAGTTTTTCCTCTTTCAAACAGTTTGCCACCCAAAGCTAGAGATCCTAGTTTATTATGCTATTTTAGAAGAGATGCTTTGTGTGAATGTTAATTAAATAGCCTAACTTGAAATTTGAACTCATCTTGCTGATTTTACTTTATGTGCATATATATATATATATATATATATATATATATATATATATATATATATATATATATTTAAAATTTTAACATAAATATTTATAAAATCACTACAAAAATAGCCATTTTGTTTCAACACCCTGGTATCTTATCACACCAGGGGCGTTGAAACAAATGGCTATTTTGTAGTGATTTTATAACATATTTATGTTATAAATTTAAAAAAAATAATTATATCTGCTCTACTTTGTATTGAGCACTCTTTTAAAAATAGTAATTGTTGGTTATTGGAATTCATTCCGTACATACCAATGATGATATATATTATATATATATATATATATATATATATATATATATATATATATATATATATATATATATATAAACACCATGCACAGAAGTATTTGGATCAAACAATAATTACATTGGTCAAAGTTAATGTCAAAAAGAAATTTCTTTAATTTTTTTTTTTTTTATTATATTAAACTAACTTTTTGGTTACCCAATAAATTGCATAGCATTATAATGACAACATGTTAAGGAAATAACCTTTTCTGTTGTAATCTCTGAATTTTTTATCATTGTTATTAATCATTGCCAAATGGACAGATGCCAGAATATAAATGCATAAAATATTAATTGATTTCTCGAAACATATTTCATTGCCTGTTGTTAACCCTTGAAGAGCGATTCAGATGCCTTATTTCAAATTGGATGGTGATTTTTAAATGTGCAAGTCAGAAGCATTTAGCTTTCTGACTCAATGCATCCATATACTCAAATGTAACACCAATTTTTAAAAAAGCTTAATAATGTATCATTATTTAAAATTTCCCTGTTCTTTCTAATCAGTTCACCAAAAAGGAAATGGCTTCTTTGCATTAAATGCAAAATCAAATCATTTGAAATTGGCAAAGATGAATCAGCTGCTTTCTTGGTGATTACTTGAAGACAGAAATACGCATTTACAGATGAAAGCAGTTAGCTTTCATGCAAATTAGGTTAATGAAATAACAATGGATAACTTTCTGTAAATGTTCATCATTAAATCTTAAGAGAAGTTATTTATATAATATTGCCATCATAATAGATTGAATCATTAACACTTTCCCGATGACAAAGCATGGCAAATGAAGATTAAAGACTTGTTCATATACCTGTTTTTTTTTGTTTTAGGTGGGATATGTACTTAAAGTTGTTTTAAATAAGATTATGAGATAAAATTTTATCGCTCAGAAAAATGGTCAAAGCAAAAAAAGAAAAATCAGTCATACAGAATAAACAATTAGAAATCACTGATGACCCTAAGATTTGTTTATCCAACTATCTTGACGAATAAATACTTTTTCAGATATTTAATCATGTAACATAAAAACATCTTTACATTATTTATATTTTGGACTGTTGTCCTCATCTTTGTTGTTGTTATAACATTTCAATCATTGTGTCCTCCAGTATTCTTTAGGTGTATATTGATCTGTGTAACCTAAATTCTGAACTGAACCCTTTATTTAATATAAAGCATGGAGATAGACAGTTGTCGTTCCACTGCCCATGTCTAGGGATATTGACTAGTTCTTATTTTTGTATTGCTCAGGGACAATAGTCCAGTGGATTAAAATGATGGTTCAGGAATTTCATAACATAGTGATTGTTAGTTCAATCCCAGGGTTGGGCTGTGTGTACTTGGACTCATTGGTAACAGTTGAGCAATAACTGAACAGTACTAAAATACTTGACAATATGCCTATATATGGACGATGGAAAGAGAACAGTCTACCCACTGTAGATTAAGTAAATGGTTCAGTTCAGAATCCCCTGTAGATTACCCAGATCAATAGACATCTGAGGAAGGATAAAGCATACAAATGCTAAAACACTGTTATAACAACAAGATGAAGATAATATAAATAGTGTAAATAATGATAACTCCTCATCCCAGAAATTCAGACAGAAATAAAAAATATTTTGTTCTTCATCTTATTTTTAGTTATGGAGTTAATTAATAATACCAGCAATATCAGCATGAAAAATATTTTATAAGCCTTTTATAATTGAGCAGTTTGGATTTTCTTAATTTAATCTAGATTTTTTCCAAGTTTGTTTTATTTTTCCATTCTAACTAGAGTTAAATCTGATTAAATTTATGATTTGACATCATGTCATAATCACTAGAAAGAAAAAACAAGCAAGAATTTTCAAAATATAAATAGATTTATCATATTATATAAATTATAAGCCTTGTTTTTGTTTGTTTAATCCAAATAGTTTCACTGATTGAAAATGCACTTTTATTTTAAAAAATTATCATTTCCTCTGGAAGTAATGACAAAACACTTATCATTACACATCTCGGCATAAACAATAGATATCATCACATCATGTTATAAATCCCATAACCCATTAGGGTCATAAGGGTACTATACATATATTGCAGCCATACTAGTAGTGGTATGCCAAAAGAAAGATAGCTTGAAAAAGTCCATTGCATTTCAGAATAGTTTTTGAATTTATAGCTTTTTCTTCTCTGAAATTGGTTAGGCAAAAAAAGCACAGTCTACCCTGTTATTTTAATCATAACTGGATTAAGATGGATATGCTTTTTTAAATGGTATTAGCACAGAGTGAATAAAACAGAATCAATTTGAAATTGAACTCTATTCACTGGTTACACTTTCTACACTGTTTATCATTGCACTATCCCCATATCCATATATAGATGTACAAACATGCACCAGAATAGATATATAAAGAAAAGCATTTACATCAAAATTAATAAGGTTATTATATTTCATTACTTAGGGCTTAGTTAAAAGCTTGAATAAAGCATATCATAATTTTACATTTCAATTTAATATTATTTTCTTAGCTGAAATATAGTCAATTGCTTTTTATTGCAGATCTCAGACTATTATTCTTCAACCAGTCTTTGCTTATAGCTGTATATATTGAAACACTAGAAAATCAGATCTGATCGAAAGCATTTGATTTTGATAGATTTCTGTGAAAGGTGGGTGACTAAGGCGAGTCTGGTTCATTTGGACGGGGCTAGCCTTGATTTTCTTTTTTAAGCCCCCTTAACGCAACAGGGTCGTTTCCTGTTGACCCTCCCCTGGTTAAGTTAGACACTATTTTTTGTTAATACTTAATGTGAATAAGTGTTGTTCCCGGCTTTTTCTTTTGTTATGATCCATGTCAAGATTCCCGAATTTCCTTAGTTTATTTTTATCCCCCTTTTTTCATCTTGGCTAGGTCAGGCTTTGATTTCCCCATTCCATCATTTATTTTGACCCTTCCCATTCCATTAGTGTGCTTCCTGATTCTTTCTATTGACAGAATACAGCCACTCCTATTATTTTGAAGGGCCGATGGGTCATACTAACATTTGTTTATTTTAGTTTTAACTTTGTGCTACAATTTTAGTTTGTTTTCTGGGTTCATCCCCTCCCTATCATTTCATGTATCATGAAGTTTTTATATATTTTTCCATATTTTGAAATTTTTATGCCATTGGGTGTTTTGTATGTCCTTTGTGAATATGTGGTATTGTGGTACATATAGGATTGGGAAGTGATGGACAAGTTCTTGTGGTGATTGTGTATATTGTATTAAATGAATGGGTCATGATTGTGGTTAACTGGGAATAGGCTAGCTCGTGAAAGACCAGTCTTTCCCCACTTTCACATCAGCCTTCACTTTTGTATTTTTATACAGAATAAATATATTGAAACACTGGTTCCTGTATGATCACCAAGGTAAAGTAACATTAAACCTGGTCAACACCTAGATGGGTGACTGCTAGGGAATACCAGCTCGAATGTGCAGGTGGTGTAATGCATAATGGCTTGGAATTAGAAATCAATATAAATGTCATGAATTGAGAGATTTTGGAGTGATTTGCTAAAGGTAATAAACAACAATAAGGATATTAGTCAGAAAATAAAGTAATATGACAAGAGTTTTTTTTTTTATTATTTTCTACATAATAAGCATTATGTATAAAATAAAAGCTCAGTTACATAACAATTTAAATAATTTAATATCTGAGCACCATCTTCAGAAATCACCAATTAATTCTGATGCTACATGCAATATTTCCAAGTAACTGAATTCACCCGAAATAAAGACATCTTATGGCCACATCATGTTGAAACATTGGTTCCCATACAATCCCTAGAGTTAAGCAATGTCGAGCCTGGTCAGTACCTAGATGGGTGACTGATTGTAAATACCAAGTGCTGTAAGGTTGGACATGCAGGTGGTGTAATGGATAATGGCCTGAAATTGTTAATTGGAGAGCTGAGTTCCAATTCTATTCAGGTTCATTATATTCCCTTACATGTAAATATTATGGCAAAATTAAGACTCCACCTCTCAGCCCTCCCCAGATACTGACTTGTATCAGTAAATCCTTATTATATCAAAAAATTCTTACAGTGTAAAATACTTTGTGGTTTAAATAACTTGCAAATGGTTGATAAGCTGTAAAAGACAAATCAACAAGATACAATAATAATCAGCCTTATAATTTTATGTGCCATGTCACTTCAGAACATGGGCAATCATGGATCTCAACAAGTTCCTATTTTTTACTTTCCTGGCCCTTCTTATATCCTGTGAGTCTCAAAATCTTCAAGTTGTCATTACTCATCATGTGTCCCAGAAATTTCCACACTGTTTTGGATTTTTTATACAAGTTTCCTTTTCGTTTCCGTTTTCCTTAAATCTTTTTTTTTATTGTGTTTCTGGTTCATGGCATTCTCAGCATTATTCTGTAAATTACATGTTTCTTGCTTCATGTCTCCATTTTGTCTGTGAAGAAATTGTTCAGCATTCACAGCCATATAAAAAGATTGATATTACATAGCAGTTGAGTACATTTTTTGTTTTGTGCAATATAAAGCTTCTTTAAACATAATCTGCAATTTTTACTAATGTCTGTAGAATAATCAAGTGAATATATTGCCAGGGTAAATGACTGAGATTAAGATACGTATAATATGAGCCAAATAATTTATATTGATTATTCCAACTTTTATGAATTTTGTCTTCAACTGATAGACCTCATGAGACACCAAGTTTTTCTTATTCATTTCCAATCTATTCATTTTTTTTTTGACAAGAAAAACTAATTTCACTTACATTTTCTTTTGACAAAAAACTAACTTCACTTGCATGAATTCTTGAAGAGCAAGGGTTAAATAGTTAAACAATTTAATTTCTATTTGCAAATTGCATAAGAGGCAAAAAGCACATACATACACACACATATATATATATATATGGTTTTCCTTTCAAAGAATATATAGGTAAATAACAATAATTATCTACTCTTACATATAAAGTTTCATGTGATAACCTCACAATTGGGAAAAGAAAGCCAACCATACCAATTTCCAACAAATGGCATATCCTCTTATCTGTTATAGCCTGAGAGGAGATACCTCATAGCTATCTCTGGTGAAATACTATGATGTTAAAGTAAAAAGCCTTTTTCTGACCTATGTTTTTTTTTATTCTTTAATCATTTCACCCAAAGCAAGGCATTAAAGCCACTAAGACACAAGATCTTACTGAGGGGGGAAGAGAAAGAGAAGATAATAGTGATGTGAAAAGACAAGAAAGGAACTGGATTTAAATAGTCAAAAATGAGGATTGACACTGCATTTAGAGTTTTGAAGATTATAGGTAGCCAAGAACTAAGAAACTGGAAAAAAGTGTTCCACAGGTGAGAAGTGCGAAAAAAGAAACTGTTAGAATAGAACTTATGATTACATTTCGCTATTTCAACAATAAAATGATGAGACCTACTTACTAATCTAGTAAATGTGGTCATAGTGTCAATGAGGAAAGCTCATTAAAACAATTGCCATGAAAGACATGATACCGTAGTGGGAAGGACATGGAAGTAGAGATAGTTGTTAAGAACTTAATAGCATTACAGATTCTTCTTTGAATTTTGTTGAGAATCTCAAGAGATAACAGGAGGATCAGCTCAGCATGGACAAATGGTAGATTTATAAATGTCCAAAATGGATTTTGTCACAACACAGTGACACAACTCTACCAGGAGACCTAGCAGTTGATTCAATATAATCACTACATTCATGTCAGTATACAACATCAGAGTTAGAAGGTGAAATGAATTGCGCTTCTGGAGCCATATTGACAGAAGGCAAAAATGATTAGTAATTTTGATTTGGGGGCATTAAAATTCACAAGCCATTTCTTGTTCTATTTAACAACTGATTGGAGGTAATTTTTGAGAGCAGCTGCCACTTTTACTTTATTTCACATATCAAAATTCTGTTAAGACTTTAAGCTCTTTTTTGATTTAGCTTTATGCTCTTTTGCCAAGGTCAAATTGTTCCCATGCCACAAATCAGTTTTTGCTTGATTGGTTTACTTTCAAAGGCTTATCAACCACTTGTAGGTTATTTAAAGCCATAAAATATTTTTAGATTATGGCTGCATCAGGTTGAAATACTGGTTTCTGTGCAATCACTGTAGATAAGGAACATCATATCTGGTCAGTAACTAGATGACTGACCACTCAGGAATATCAGGTGTTGTAGGCTGGATGTGCAGGTGGTGTGATAATTAATGACTCTGAATTGTTAATCAGAGAGCAGAATTTCAATTCCAGGTGGCTTTGTTATATTCACTTATGTGCAAGAATATTTAAAGCCACAAAATATTTTTACATTGTAAGAATTTTTTTTATATAATCATGTTCTAGTGATACAAAGTAAAAATATTCTCTGGCTTTGAATAGTCAGCAAATGGTTGATAAGCCTTAGAAAATGAATGAATCAATCAAAAACTTCTCAGTGGCATGGGAACAATTTGACCTTGGCAAAAGGACATAATACTAAAAGCAAAAAAGTGCTCAACATTGTCAGGCCATTAAAGTCCCTTTATCAGATGTATATATTATAAAACACATGGAGCAATTCTCAAAAGAGTTTCCTAAAGAGGCATATCAGAAAAAGAGAGCTCAATGCCAAAATGGCAGAGCATTATAATGCCCCGCCATTTTGATATTGCATTCTCCTTTTCAGAAATGGCAGAGCATTAAAATGCCCTGCCATTTTGGCATTAAACTATTTTTTCTGAAATGGCTGAGTATTATAATGCCCTGCCATTTTGGCAGTGAGTTGCTTTTTTCCAGTATACCAGTTTAGTATAGTCTTTTGGGACTTGCTTCATCTCTTTTCAGTCATTTTGGCATTAAGCTCACTTTTTCTGGTGTGCCTCTTTAGCAAATTCTTCTGGGAGTTGCTTTGTGTGCTTTGCAATATATATATATATATATATATATATATATATGTGTGTGTGTGTGTGTGTGTGTGTGTGTGTGTGGTGAGGGGAGATTTTGCTCTCCAACTTGACATTGTCAGTCAGTATAAAAAAATAGATAAAAAATAGAACCAAAATGCTGTTCCCTGATTATACACTTATTTTCTTTTGTTTTTAAAATGATCAAATGTTAACCAGATCCAACTACCTTACTCTGCATTATTCAGCTACAAAGACTTTATATATACATCACTTGTGAATTAGTGTCAAAACTCAGAAATCAATCATTATGAATTTAAACAGTAAGAAAAACAAAATTAAATGAAAAGAAAAACCGAGCATAGTAAAAGCAATCTTTCTTTCATGTCAATCTCCAAGAACCAAACTGCTTAGAATTTGATTTTTTTATGTTAAGCTTCAAGGCCTTCATGATGTTTTGAGAGGCTGATTTGTTTACTCATCTTGACCTGGCATTCCTAAAGGGGAGACAACCTTTGGCTTCTCTGCTGTCAGACTTGCTTTTGGGTAAGCTCACTCTTGCTCACATAAACTTGTTTGCAAATTTATGGCTCTAAAAGTGTTCCTTAGGCTGATCCTGTGTCTTTGTAATTAGCACAAAAAATTCTTCTCTGCAACTTGATGAGATCATCCTTGTAGGCAATGGCTGCTAGATAACTCATGACTTAAAATGTTTTTCCTTTAATAATGGTGAGAATAATGCTACTAAAAATAATTCAAATTACTATTAATATTATTTGACTTTTATAGATGTATGATTTGCTTCAAAAATTATTGCTGGTCTTTGTCCAAGTTATAACAGAAGTCAACAGTTAAATATTATGGCTAAAATGTTAGTGATATTTTGTGCATGAAAATGTTTAGACATTATTAATGGTTGTGCTAGCATGAAGTCACAAATCATTGTGACTAAGGGTTTGTGTGTACTACCCTTGTTCAATTAGAAATCATGCTATGTGTTCTCTTCCAGAAACTCTAACTAAAGTATATTGAGTGTAGGTGTTGAAGATGGAACAAATGGGCATCTGCAACAAAGATTAGCTATCCAACATAGCAGATGTCTGTGCTTAGAAACAAGCAGCCAACCATTATATATATATATATATATATATATATATATATATATATAATATATATAGGGTGATTGAAAAATAACTCGATTTTATATATGGATGGCCAGACTTAAAACCCTGTGACTTTAATTTTGTGGTTGGTTAAAGGAGAAAGTCTACTATACCAAACCAAGACTTTGGAAGAACATGAAGGGCAAATAAAGGAAGTTATGCCTTCCATATCCCAAGAGTTCCTGGTGAAATCAGTTGGTGCAATTACTGGACATATCAAGAAGTTGGTAGTGAAATCTAGTGCCCTTATCAAATTTTAAATAAAACCTCATGTTATCATCTCATATCCATTTCTTGTAAAAATTATAGTTAATAAATAAATTATAAGTATTTTGAAATGGGGAGTACTTTAGAGTTTATATATATATATATATATATATATATATATATATATATATATATATATTTGGAAAAAAACAATCATCAGCATGAAGAAGCTGTTGCCTCTCCTTCCTCATCTATACAAATGCTTGAGTGAGGCAGACTTGAAAATTGGTATCAGCTGTGTGCAAATATTAAAGAAACTTGGCAGCATGCTTCTCTTCTCAATGATAGCCTTACCTGCCACTGTGGCATTGTTACATGCAGTAAAGCAGGCTTTGCTGTCCACTTGTGAAAACATGTGGCAAGTGATCCTTAAAAATTTGCATAAAACCTGCAGGCCTTGGGAGACATATGTATGTCCATAAAAGCTGAGCACCTCTTTATTTTATTGTGCCCTCATTTGTTGTCCACGACAAGAGTCCACCATATATCTAAATGGCACAGCCACACATATACGAGTAGGATGCCTGTTTTTTTCT